TTGCCTATCTGTATTGGTAACAAGAGTTTCCACAAAGGGAATTCCTTATATGGATGAAATCATAGGTTCAGACCAATCAATCCACAGCATGGAGTTCAAGAATTTACACATCGATTCTTTTAAAAGTGGAAAAGGAAGCTACAGGGACATTTTAGCTCAATTTTTAACCTGAGTCCCCTGTGCTGCGTTCTAATCCTTGAAATGGCATGCTGATGTTTCTCAAAACATCAATTCCTCTTCTTAGCACAAAAGTACCCCCACCTGGGTCCCCTAGAGGCTTCAGAACCACGCAGAGGGACCCTACAAGGTGAAGACTCACCGTTTCACCTTTGGCCCCTCTACAAAAATAGCTTCTTGGGAGGATGTGACTAGCATCTCTCAATCATCTGTTTGAATTGTGGATTTGAAGTTTACTTGCAACTCTGCTGTGGCTTCAAATAGTAGAAAGAGCTTAAACCTTGGCACCAGAAGATGGGAGTTTGAATCTTAGCTCTACCACTTAATTGGGTGACCCTGGGTATGTTATTTAAGCTCTGCACATCAGTCTCCTCATTTACAAAATATGAACAATACTTATACTTTGTGAGCTTTTGGGGAAGAAAGTTCTTTGTGTATTTGATCGTGTGGTGTAAGGAATAGTCAGTCCCATAAGGCCTAATATTATCTACACGTACCTTCTCTGCACATCCACACAGGATACCTCCCATGGAGGATGCTCACTTACTCCTCACCCTCACCTCCTGGAAACCTTAGCTTTTTTCAAAGCTCTGCTCAGGAGTCAATTCCCACCAGATCCCTGATCCTTGCAATTGTCAGTCAAAAAGCATTTGTTAAGTGTGTACTATATGCCAGGCACTGTGCTAAGCTCTTGGGATACAAAAAAAGGCAAAAATACAGCTCTTAGCCTCAAGGAACTTACATTTTAATAGGGATAACGACACGCGATTAACTATGTACCTGTAAGATATATACAGAACAGATGGAAGGCAATCTAGAGGGGAGGCACTGGCCTTTGGGGGATCATGAAAAGGGTCCTGTAGAAGGTGGGATTTGAGCTGAGTGTTGAAGAAAGCCAGGGAAATGAAGGGGTAGAGATGAGGGGGCGGAATATCTCTGCAAATGCAGAGGCTTGTCTTTGTTTTCTCAGTGTTTAGCACAGGGCATGGCATATAGTAGGTGCTTAATAAATGCTTGTGGACTGGCTGATAGGGTAAGGAAATAGAATGTCATATGTGAGGAGCAGCAAATAGTATAGCTGGTTCACTGAGTATGTGGAAAGGAGTAAAGTATAAAGTATGAAAAGATTAGAAAGGTAAGAAGGGGCCAGGCTGTGAGGGGCTTTAAATGCTGAACAGAGGAATTTAAATTGGATCCTGGAAGCCAGAGAGAACCACCGGAATGTGTTGTGAGGTGCTGTGAGGTGACATGATCAAACAGCAAAATCCCTTTGGGTACTGAAAGATGGATTGGGGTGGGGAGAGATTTCATCAGTTGGTGAATCAGTTAGAAGCATTGGCAGGGTGATCAGTTAGAAGAATATTGCAATAGTCCAGGCAGCAGATGATAACAGCCCATACTAGGATCATGGCTATGTGAGTGAAGAGAAGGGGATGTGTACGAGGCATGTTATGAAGGTAGAAATGACAAAGTTTGACAGCATATTGGATGTGTGAAGTGAGTGCAGGTGAGGAGTTGACGATGTCACCTGGGAGGATAGGGGGATGGGGGTGCCTTTGACAGTAATAGGAATGTTTGGAAGAGGGGAGGGTTTGAGGGGGAAAAGATAATGAGGTCTGTTTTGGACTTGCTGAGTTTGAGATGCCTAAAGGATACCCAATTCAAGTCAGCCAGTACACAAGCATTTATGAAGTACCTACTAGGTGGCAGACACTGAGCTAAGTGGGAGATCCAAAAAAAGGCCAAAAAAAAGTCAGTACCTGGACTCAATGAGCTCCCAGTCTCATGTGGAAGACAATATAAAGCTATGTGCAAATAAGATATAGACAAGATAAAGTAGAGACAATAACCAGAGGGAAGGGGAATAGGGCAAAGCTTCCTGCAGAAGATGATATTCTAGCTGGGACTGGAAGGAAGCTAGGGAAGCCAGGAGATCCAGCTAAGGGAGAAGACTATTCCTAGGACTAGGGACAGCCAGTGAAAATGGATGAAGTATCTTGTTTGAAGAACAGAAAGGAGGCCAGTGTCACCGAGTTAAAGAGTATGTGAGGGTCCAGAATAAAAAGACTGGAAAGGTGGGAGGGGCCAGGTTTGTGCAAGGCTTTGAATACCAAGCAAATGATTTTATATTTGATCCTGGTGGTGATAGGGAGCCACTGAATGTTCATTGGATGGGAGAGGGTGTGTGACATGGTCAGACCTGTGCTTTAGGAGGGTCACTTTGGCTGAGTGAAGGATGGACACTTGAAACAGGGATAGCAATCAGGTTTTTGCAATAGTCTAGGCACGGGGTGATAAGGGCCTACACCAGAGTGGTGGCAGTGTCAAAGGAGACATGGGAGGGTATATAAGAGATGCTGTGAAGGTAAAGTCAACAGGTCTTGGCAACAGATTAGATATTGGGGGTGAGAGAAAGGGAGGAGTTGAGGATGAAACCAAGGTCTCAAGCCTGGCTTACTGAGAGGTTGGTGGTGCCCTCAATAGCCATAGGGAAGTTAGGGAGAGGGGAGGGTTTGGGGAGGAAAGGTAATGAGTTCAGTTTTGGAAATGATGAGTTTAAGGAATCTACTGGACATTCAGTTTGAGATGTTTGAAAGGCAGCTGGAAATGGAAATGTGAATCTGGAGGTTAAGACTGCATAGGCAGATCTGAGAATCATGAGCATAGAGATGACAATTGAATCCATGGGAGCTGATGACATTATCAAGTGAAATAGTATATAGAGAGAAGAGGGCTCAGGAGAGAGCTCTGGGGGACACCCATGGTTAGCAAGCATGACTTGGATGAAAATCCAACAAAGGAGACGGAGAAGGAGTTGTCAGAGAGGTAGGAGGAGAACCAGGAGAGAGCAGTGTCCTGAAAGCCTAGAGAGAAAAGAATATCAAGGCAAACAGGGTGATTGACATTGTCAAAGGCTGCCAAGAGGTCAAGAAGCATGAGCGTTGAGAAAAGTCCATTAGACTTGGCAATTGAGAGATCATTGGTAACTTTGGAAAGAATAATTTCTGTTAAATGGTGAAGTCAAAAGCCAACCTATTAAGAAAGGATGAGAAGAAAGTAAGTGGAGGCATTGATTGTAAATGGCCATTGTACTGTAGAAGGTTGTTGTTGGTTGGGGGTTTTTTTGGTTTTGTTTTTGAGAATTGTCCAAAAGGAAAGACTAGAGCTCAGAAAAAACCAAGGCTGGGTATGTAGATTTGAAAATCACCTCCAGAGATAATTGAACCCCTTGGAGCTAATGAGAACAGCCAAGCAAAACAGGAGAAAGGAAGAAGAGAAGAGGGCCCAGGACAGAACTCAAGGTTAGGGGGCATGTTTTAGATGGGGATCCAACAAAGGAAACTAATAAAGAGCAGTTTGATTGGTAGGAGAACCAGGAGAGAGTAGTGTCTCAAAAGCCTGGAGAGAAGAAGGTATTCAGAAGAACAAGGTGATCTTCAGTGACATAGGAAGCAGAAAGTTCAAGAAAGATCAATTAATCAATCAACAAACATTTATTAAGTGCCTTCTATGTATCAGGCACTGTGCTAAACAAAGAAGTTTGAGAAAAACCCATTGGATTTGGCAATTAAGAAATCACTGGTAACTTTGGAAAGGTCAGTTTTGGTTAAATGATGAGGCCCAAAGCTAGGCTGTAGAGGATTTTAACATGTTCATGTTTAAATCAGTAAGAGGAATGAAAATGGTGGCCCCTATATTAGATGGCCTTCTCAAGCAGTTTAACCAAAAAGGGGAGGAGAGCTGTGGAATGATAACCAGTGGGAATGATAGGATCAATGGAGGATGTTTTTAAGGATGGAGGACACGTGGATACATTTATAGGCAAAAGAAATGGAGCTACTAGATAGGGAGAGCTGGAAGATAAAAGAAAATGGGGGTGATAATGGGAAGAAACTGATGAAGAAGATGGGAGAGGATAGGATGAAGGCTGCATGTTGGATTGTTAATGCTTTCTTCCCTAAAATGACCCCTAATATTTGTCTTACTTTCTATTTACACTGTATATATCTTGTTTACATGAACTGATGCATAATGAAATGAACAGAACCAGGAAAATGTTGTACACAGTCATAGCAATATCGTTCAATGAAGAACTGTGAATGACTTAACTATTCGCAGCAGTACAATGATCCAAGACAATCCCGAAGGACTAATGATGAGGCATGCTATCCACCTCCAGAGGAAGAACAGATATTGTCTTAATATAGATTGAAACATGCTATTTTTGCACTTTCTTTAATTTTTTTCTTTTATTCAAGTCTTCTTGTACAAAATGATTAATATGGAAATGTTTTACATAATTGCACACATATCCATCTGATTGCTTACCATCTCAGGGAGGGGGGAGGAGAGGGAAGGAGAGAGAGAAGGGCAGAACTTGGAACTCAAAACTTTAAATAAAAATGTTAAAAAATTTTAAAACAGGTTATTAAAGTAAGTCTCAAAAGAAAGAATGCAAATTATCAACAATCACATGAAAAAATGCTTCAAATTACTAATAATAAGGAAAATGCATCAAAGTTCCACTCCATATCCATCAGATTGGCAGAGATGACAAAAACAAAATCACATTTGTTGGAGGGGCTGCAAGAGGACAGACTCACTGATGCACAGTGCCTTCCTTCTCTTCATCATTTCCTATATATTCTCTCTATAGCTTGTTTTTATATTTGTTTGTTGTCTCTCCCATTAAATTAAGAGCAGGAGCTATCTTTTGACTCTTTTAGTATGCCTAAACTTAGCACAATGCCTGGCACATAGCAAGTGATGAATAAATGTTTACTGATTGATTGATTATTTTAATATACTAGTATATGTGTTACCTGGGACACAGTCGCCTTGGAGAGCTTCTCTCTTCCTCTTCATTTATACAATTAACATACTGTCTCTCTGTCTAGTCTTCTGATTCATAGGTTTCCAAATTTGCTGTAACAGAACACAAAGTGTCTTTTAATTCCTTCGTTTAATTTGTTGCACTATTGATCTCTTCCATTCTTTCTTCTGATTTGAATTACAGAGACCAAAATTCCATTTGGAACACTTTTTTATACATTGTTTTGTGTGACATTTTTTGACAGTGACTCGATTTCTCTCATATGACGTATGCTTTTGGTTGGGTTCAAGAAATTGACATAGTAAGTACAAGATTAGGGAAGCATGGTAAGAGCAATTTTTCTGAAAAAGATCTGAGGATTCTAGTGGACAAGACAAAAGTGTGATATAGTATTCCCTAAAGCTAGTGCAATCTTAGGTTGCAGGAAGAGAATGTCCAGAATTAGGGAGATGATATTCACATTAAAAGTAAGGTGATCTTGGAGAAGCGTAGTTTAAAGACATTGGAAAGCTAGAGAGGAAAGCAATCAGGATGATAAAGGGCCTAAAGCTCATGACCTATGAAGACTGGTTGAAGGAAACATCAAGAAGAAAGGATGTAGGAGTTTTGTTTCATCTTTCTGATGGTTCCTCGTATTGGTTTTAATTTTTACTTGTGAAAATATGTTTAATGGGTATGTAAATGTAAAGCCTATATCAGATTGTGCGCCATCTTGGGGAGGTTGGGGGGGAGGAAAAGGGAGAAAAATTTTCAACTCAAAAGCATATGGAAAAAATAAAAAAATTTAAATTAAAAAAAAAAAGAAAGGATGCAGGAGAGACATGGCAACTGTCTTTGAATAGCTGAAAGACTGTGATATGGAGGAGGGATCAGATTTGTTCAGCTTGGCCCCAGGGAACAGCAGCAATGCGGGGAAACTTCAAAGAGTCAAATGTAAACTTGACTTAAAGGGGGAGGAAAAGCTTTATAACAACTAGAGTTATCTAAAAGGGGAATGGCTTTCCCTCTTAAAAAGTGGCCAGGGGGCAGCTAGGTGGCCCAGCAGATAGAGCACTGGCACTGAAGTCAGGAGGACCTGAGTTCAAATCCAGTCTCAGACACATTATACTTACTAACTGTGTGACCCTAGGCAAGTCATTTAACCCCAATTGCCTCCTACAAAAAAAAAAAGTGGCCAAGAGAGTCCCCGGGGTTACAAGAACTGCAGATTGCTGCAGAATTCTATCTTAACAACCAGTGCCATTCTACCCTAAAACAAATAGCACCTGAAAAGACCTTTGGAATTATTTATCCTTATTATTATTTAAAATATTATTATTATTATTTCCTGGAGTTCTTCAGATCAATGCTAGATGGCCAATTTTTCAAGTCTATTCTAAGGAGAATTTGTTTCCCATACAGACCGAACTAGATGGACCTCTGAGGTCCCTTTCAGCTCCTAAGTTCTGTGCTTCTGGTACATACTTGAGAAACAGGGAGACTCTGAACCACAGATTGCTAGGCAATGCTGTTGACTCAAGATATTTGGATTTCAGTAAGGCATTTGATAAATTCCTTCCTAGTATCCTTGTGGAAAAGTAGAGAGATATGGGCAGGGTTAAGCTGTAATTAATTCTATAGAGTAGGAACTGATTGAACAAGTAGACCCAAACAGTAGGTAATTAATGGATTGGGGTTCTCTTGGAGCTAGGTCTATAGCAGAGTGTTATAGGAACCTGGAGCTGTAATTGCCTGAGCTTCTGACGAAGGTAGCTTCTTGGACAAAGGCAGACCTACCAGCACCCCCACTCTTATTCCAACAAAAATCTGATGTTTGTGCCAGGCTGAATAATGATCGAGAAATCCAATGAGAAACTACAATGACTATCTCTGCTCCATAACTGCCCCAAATTCAGACAGAAGCTGTTGAGCAATGTGACAGAGGGCTGCCAGTACCAACGGAAGCAAACAAACTCACACCCTGCAGCCACACAACAGCCCAGTGGAGACAAGTAGGACCTGCAAAGCTATATGTAGGCAGACAGAGAGTGGAGGGCTCCTGTGAGAAAGCCCCAGGGTAGAAACTCACATAGTGGGCCTTGGAAGCAATAGGAAGCAGCAATGACCAAAGTGGGTAAAGCATCACTCAGACCAGGGCCACTCAGGGTGGAAAGGGAGTGAACATTTATTAAGCAGCTACTGTGTGCCAAGCGTTGTGCTAAGTGTTTTACGAATGTCTCATTTCATAAACTGTGCCCAATAACCCTGGGAGGTAGGTGCAGATGACTCCATTTTACAATTGAGAAAACTGAGTCAGAAGAGATTAAGTGACTTGCTTAGGGTCACACAGCTAGTAAGTCTCTGAGGGCAGTGAATTCAGGTCTTCCTGACTTCAAGCCTCATGCTCAATCCACTGTACCACATAGGTGGTACTAGGGACCACAGAGTCCCTAGTACTCTGTTTGTCTTTAGACACACTGAGCACCTTGAAAACCCATAACTCTGAATGTTAAAAATCCATGAAGGTCCAACACTAGAAAGGTTTTTTTTGACTTGCAATGGGGTTAAGTGACTTGCCCAGGGTCACGCAGCTAGTAAGTGTTATATGTCTGAGGTCAGATTTGAACTCAGGTCCTCCTGACTCCAGGGCTGGTGCTCTATCCACTGCACCACCTAGCTGCCCCTCCAACACTAGAAAGTTGAGGTCAGCACAGGAACCTCTGTGATGTAGGACAAGACTAGGCAGAGCCTTACCACCTCACTCAAAAGTGCAGCAGAACGCTGAACCTAATCCTGGAAAAGACCCAATTCATGAATGAAACTGGGGAGATGAATCCACTAAAGAAGAAAACAACCTGCATAAAAAATTCTCATAGATCTAGAGATCCCCAAAAATTCCAACCTAGAAACTAGAATCTCTGCTATATGAAGATTGATTAAAGGAATTGGGGAAGAAAAGGAATAAAGACTGAAAGCAGGGAATCAGAGGGGAAAATGGAATTTCCACAAGGACTACATGAATGCCTAGAAGAAATGAAGCAAGGAATTTTTTAAAATGAAAGAGAAATGCTGCAGAAAAAGAATTGAAAGAGATATAAATAACTTAGAATAGAAAACAGTATACCTTATCCATGTAGAGACTCACTGAAAACTGGTATTGATCAGACAGAAATCCATGATCTCTTAACTGTCAAATGTCATGGCCTTTTCTCACTCTGACCTCTCTGCAGCCTTTGACCATGTCAATCACCAGGTTTTCCTTGATATTCTCTTCTCTCTAAGATTTCAGGTTACTACTCTATCCTGGTTCTCTTTCTACCTCTCTGACTGATTCTTCCAAATCTCCTTTGCTGGATTTTCACCCAGGCCATGCTTGCTAACCACGAGTGTCCCACAGGGGCTCTTTCCTGGGCCTTCTTCTCTTTCCTCTCTATACTATTTCACTTGATGATGTCATCAGCTCCTATGGATTCAATTATCATCTCTATGTTCGTGATTTTCAGATTTACTTATACAGCCCTAACCTCTTTCCTAACCTTCATGTCCACATTTCCAATTGCCTGTTGCACATCTCAAATTGGATGTCCTATAGACTTCTTAAATGCAACATGTCCAAAACTGAACTCTTTATCTTTCCCTTCAAACTCTTCCTTCTTCCTAACTTTCCTATTATTATTTTTTTGGGGAAGCAATTGGGGTTAAGTGACTTCCCCAGGGTCTCAGGTCCTCCTGACTCCAGGGCCAGTGCTCCATAGGGTCACCTAGCTGCCCCTTCTCTATTACTATTGAGGGCAGCAGCATCTTCTCATTCAGTCAGGCTTGCAACCTAGGTTCAATATCTCTCCCCACCATATCCAATCTGTTGCCAAAGCAGGGTGATTTTGCCTTCACTATATCTCTCATATTCATCTCCTTCTCTCTTCTGATACTTCTATTACCCTGGTGCTGGCACTCATCTCCTCGTATTGGAGCCATTGCTATAGCCTGCTGGTTAGTCTCCTTAAGTGTCTCCCTACTCCAGTCCATCCTCCACTCAGCTGTCAAAAAGATCTTCTTAAAGCATATTTTTGGTCAGTGTTTCCCTTTTATATCCAGGATAAAATATTAAATCCTCTGGTATTCAAAGCACTTCACAACCTAGCTCCTTTCTCTCTTTCTCTGTGCATTTTCACTGGCTTTTGCCATTCCATGAAATGCTCTCTCTTCCTACTGGCTTCCTTAGTCCCAGCTAAAATCTCACCTTCTACAGGAAGTCTTTACCCATCCCTCTTAATTCTAATTCTTTCTTTCTGTTGATTATTTCAAAATTATCCTTTATATATCTTGTTTGTCCATAGTTGTTTGCAAGTTGTTTCTCCCATTAGACTATGAGCTTCTTGAGGGCAGGGACTGGCTTTTACCTTTCTTTTATATGCTCAGTTCTTATCACTATGCTTGGCACATAGTATTAGGCACTTAATCAATATTTATTGACTGACTAACATAAACCAGCAAGAAATAAAACAAAATTAATGAAAAAATAAAAAGAAAATGTTAGATAGTTAATATAAAAAAGCAAATCTGGAAAATAGGTCCAGGGGAGATAATTTAAGAAATACTAGGTTCCTGCAAAACCATAATAAAATTTCTTGATCTAGCAAGAATTCATAAATGAAAATGGTTTAGATCTATTAGAACCAGACTGCAAAATGAAGATTGATCACTTCCTGAATGAAACCCCAAAAGGAAAAGCCCTGCAAATGTAATAGCCAAAATCCAGAGCTTCCATATTAAAAAAAAAAAATGATTGCAAGAACCAGAAAGAAAGAATTCAAGTACCAAGGAACCAATAGTCAGTATCACACAAAACCTGGCAACTTCTCCTGTACATGAGGGGAAGAGAAGGGAATAGGCATTTATATAGTACCTATTGTGTGCTAGTACTAAGTACAGCTTAGGTTAAGTGACTTGCTCAGCATCACACAACTAATAAGTATCTGAGGCCAGATTTAAACTCGTCTTCCTGATGCCAGGCTTAGCAATCTCTCCACTACACTAC